AAGGACGTCCTGCAGCATGAAATTGAAGAGCTAAAACACAAGGAACTTGCTCTGGATCAGGAAATAGCACAAATCAAGGCTGAGTGCGTATTTATAAATGTTTCGCATACAATAAGACATCTGTTTCAGATTGTGTGGTTGGGCAATCGCAACTTGACTGCAGCAATTTCTTCAGGAGGAAAGTTGAGTTGTTGTTGTTAGTTGCGAAGTCGTGTCCAACCCATCGCGACTCCATGGACAACATTCCTCCAGGCCTTCCTGTCCTCTACCATCTTCTGGAGTCCATTGAAGCTCACGCCTTCAGTGACTCCATCCAGCCACCTCGTTCTTTGTCGTCCCCTTCTTCTATTGCTCTCCATCTTTCCCAGCATTAGGCTCTTCTCCAGTGAGTCCTTCCTTCTCCTTAGATGGCCAAAGTACCTGAGTTTCAACTTCAGGATCTGGCCTTCTAAAGAGCAGTCGGGGTTGATCTCCTCTAGGACTGACCGGTTTGATCGCCTTGCAGTCCAGGGGACTCGCAGGAATCTTCTCCAGCACCAGAGTTCAAAGGCCTCCATTTTTTGGTGCTCAGCCTTTCTTATGGTCCAACTTTCGCAACCATTGAGTTAATTTACACAGGCCAAACATACTATTTGGGGAATGGATTGCTTTGGATGACTTCAAAACCATTCCCCCCCCCTCCGGTAAATTGGGGGCGGCAGGGGGTGAGAGGCTGTTTTCCACAAAGCTTTTGAAGAACCATTGGATGACCCCAGCAAAGTCAGATTGCCACAGACTAGTGAATAAAGTGGAATATTTTAAAGTTCCAGTATCTCGGGAACGGGGTTTGGCACCTGTTATTTAAGCAAGGCTGGGGTTACCAGAAGACAGGAGAATACATATAGAGTCATAAATATTTTTTCTTGAATCTTGTTCCTCCTCCAACAGCTCTTAAGAATCACACTTCTGGATTGTCTTGACTTTTCTTACCTTTTTTTCCCCCCAGAGGATACAGCCTGGAGGAATTGGAAAACCACATTTCTCTGCTTCATGAATACAATGAGATAAAAGACACAGGACAAATGCTTTTAGGCAGATTGGGTAAGGACTAAAATAGAATCACGCTGTGTGAGTGGAGGTACTATTTGACTTTAAACATTCTCCTTTGGAGATCCCAAAGGTGCTTTTTCATGAGGCAACTGGACTTTCTTGTTTTTCTTTGAAGACGTTTCGCTTCTCCTCCAAGAAGCTTCTTCAGCTCTGACCGGATGGTGGGGAATGGAAGGATTTATACTCCTTGCAGACAGCTGGTCATTTGCCTTCTTTTAGAGAGTCGTTGAAGCCATTTGGAGGTTTTACCCGTGTCCTCAGGGTCACCTGAACAGTGCAGATGGGTGCTGCAGGATGTTTTCTGCCCTGTGTCCCCTCACTGTTGAAGACAGGCACAAGTTGTTGGGGATGAGTCTGTGTTGTCTGAATCTCAAAGTGAAGCGCAAATGGTTCCTGTAGTCTGCACTGTTTTCTGGAAATCTGTTCATACTCCCACCCCATTTGAAGGGTGTTACCCAACATCCAGTCAGAACTGAAGCAGCTCCTTGGATGAGAAAGTCCAGTTGCATCTTTGGGATAACCATGACCTGGATAACTAAGAATCTCCATAGACATTCTCCTTTGGAAAGTGAGTTTGGATAATTTAGCATCATTGTTCACCACCTGGTGCCTCATAAGATGCACGCCAACATCTGGACTTGCAGCTGTTGGGGAGAGTGACTTAAAACAAGTGGGGGTTTGCCTGAATTGCTCCAGACCCACAATGCAAATTACAAGCAACTTTAATGAAAGGCAAATAATCTGGGACGTGAAATCATAAAACTGGGCTGCACAGATGCTAGTCTTTAAAGAAAATTAAGTTTTATGAGAGAGAGCTTGGTGTACTGGTTAAAGGCGCTGAGCTACAAACTCGGTTTGCATTAGCCAGGTCAGTCACACTCAGCCCTAGGAGAAAGAAGGCAAGGGAAAAATAAAAATGAAGAAACATTGCCAAGAAAATTCTACTCACTTGTCCAGATGGTCACCAAAAGTCCAAGATTGATTCCCCCCCCCCCCAAGGCACAAAATTAAAAAATGCACAAAAGTCTTAAGAACCCAGTTTAATGATTACAGAGAATTTGTGGAAGCGATTTACTGCCTCGTGTTTTTTTTTCTCTTTCCACACTCCTTTACGATCTTCTTTGTCTGCTTTCTCTCCTAGCTGCAATCAGGGGCGTCACCACCAAAGACCTCTACTCTGAATTTGACCTGGATCTGAATGATTAGGAGGAATGTAAAATGTGACACACACACCCACCTAGACTGTGGAAATATAATGCGTGGCGAAAAGGCAATCACTGTAAGTTCATTATTCCCCCAGAAATATTAATGAAGCAGTAGCTTTAACTTTGGGGCGGAAAAAAAATCATTTAATGGATGGAGAAGCTGTTGGACTTATTACATCTGGACAAATCTCTGCAGAATTCTAGAAAGCTGCCCTGGATTGAGGAATTGCTAATGGTCCTCTCTTCGCTGTGAGAGTTGACCAGGCTAAACTATAAAGCCATAAAAATAGAAAAGAGTTATTAATTGTAATAAGGGCTGCAGGTGTCATTGATAATCTAAATGGAAGTGCCTTCAGCCTTGGGTCCATTCAAGTTGAGCCCTGTTTTCTCCTCCCCCATAGAGGGCTGAATTTGAAGGTGGAATCCTCTCCAAATCATTGTGAATTGTTAACTATGATCTGAAATGTAGGCTTCTTCAAATATGGCTGCTGAAAAGAGCGAGGGGGTCCAGTTCTTTTGGAACATGTCGAAAAAGCAACATTTGTCTATAAAAATGGTGATTTATTTGCTTGGGAGTGAATTTCAAAAGTGTGGGTGAGATGGTTTAGCTTTTGACGCTGAAATGAAGGGATGTGTTTTTTGCGTTGAAATCCAGACATTGCATTCCACAGACGGGGGCATAAATTGAAAAACAGATCTGTCCTTTTGACTTCCATTTAGTAACCAACATCTGCTAAGAATGTTTATTTCCGTGCTAGGAAGAAACAAAATAGCTTATTTTAATAGAAATTTGGTTGGTGTTTGAAATACACAAGTGTGGTAACAATATGTTACTTTGAAATATCCAATTTCAGCCTTAATAACTAATTTTGCTGTGCTGGATCTGGGCACAGTATCCAATCTTTCTTTCTGCCTTCCTTCCTTCGTCCCTCTCTCCTTTCTTTCTTTCTTTCTTTCTTTCTTTCTTTCTTTCTTTCTTTCTTTCTTTCTTTCTCTTTCTTCCTTCCTTCCTTCTTTCTTTCTTTCTCTTTCTTTCTTTCTTTCTTTCTTTCTTTCTTTCTTTCTTTCTTTCTTTCTTTCTTTCTCTTTCAAATTGCAATATCCTTGGCATGTTGTTTAGAAAGGAACATGCCAACTTGGAACTTTCTGATCCAAGCTAAAAATTGGAATTCCCGGGATGTTTCACCAGGCTTTTCCCCAATATTCCGAGAATTCTAGCAAATTTCCTATTGAATTCTGGATCTGGGTCAGATTCGGTCTCTTTCACCCTCCACCCCAGGCTTCAGGCGTGCAAGACTGCTTTCGAGTTCAGCGTCTACTTTCTGTTTGACTTGCAAAATTGCCCGCTGGATGTTAGGGAGGTCCCATTGTGTCCTCAGCAGCGCGTCCTCCAGCACAAGGACGCCATCCCGAAACCGCCTCACTTGGGTGCACACCGCCGTAGTCTTCAGTTCCAACCCTATTTCGTGAACTACCTTGCGGAGATACTGTTGGGTCTCGTGCAAGCAGTGAATTTCTAAGAAAGGCAGGAAAGAAAAGCCAGTAGCTAAGCAAAATTTAAAGCTGCACTTTCATAATTGCAACTTGGAAGAGTTGAACAGGACTCTGTTCCCTCACCCCAGTTTATTAAAACAATTTCAGGCCGGTCTGGCTAAGAAAGAAATGAATCTTTCAGCTGTTAGGCATCTTAGGGGAAACTCCCAATTCTTTTGTCTTTCGAGCCCAATTCTGATGGATCAGCTTTATAGTAGGTTCTTGAGTAAAAGCCATTCTTACTGGCCCAGTTTTTATTTTCTGGACTAGAGGCGTCACGGATTTTAGCAGGATGTAGATTCTGCCTTTAATTGCGGTATTTTCACTTTCCTTTGACATTGCTGAAAAACAGTACGGCGGACAAAGTGAAGAATCCCCTGGTCTCTGTCATTTAGCCCAAAGTTTCTCAAACTTGGCCACTTTTAAGATGACTGGACTTCAATTTCCAGAATTCCACAGTGTGGGGAATTCCAGATGTTTTAAAAGTGGCCAAGGTTGAGAAACACTGATTAACTCTAAACCAGGGGTCTTCAAACTCGGCCCTTTGATGACTTGTGGACTTCAGTTCCCAGAATTCCACAGTGTGGAGAATTCCAGATGTTTTAAAAGTGGCCAAGGTTGAGAAACACTGATTAACTCTAAACCAGGGGTCTTCAAACTCGGCCCTTTGATGACTTGTGGGCTTCAACTCCCAGAATTCCTCAGCCAGGCATGCTGGCTGAGGAATTCTGGGAGTTGAAGTCCACAAGTCATCAAAGGGCCGAGTTTGAAGACCCCTGTTCTAAACCAATGCTGATTATTTTTGCAGCATCCCTGGTAGCTATCCAACCCACCACTAGTTCATTCCTTCAAAGTCATCTTTTCCGATTTGGCGTAACGGGAACAAAGTCGGGGGGGGGGGGAGATTTAAAGAGGGTTCCGGAGCTTAATTTCCTATTTTTAAATAAAACAAGGTCCCCAGTCGGCCATACCCAGCTGGAATTCAGGTGGATCAAATCGGAGACATCGCACAGCCGTGATCAAAGGCGGGCTATTGTCCATGGGCCGAATGAGGCCTTTGACAGCCAACTCGTAGGCTTCTTGAGTTTTCAAGTCCAGGTTAGCCCACCTGGAAAGGTATGGAGATAGAAAAAGAGAAGCATAATTATTTGGGAACAACAGGTCAGTCCAGGATATCGCGATTGGTGTCCTTTAACAGCCATCGTCAAAGTCCATTTTATTTCGCCCACATTGCTGTGAATGTTATTCCCTCCAAGTTCCAAAGAAGGGATTCGTTTTTGCTATGATACAGCTAGTCCCCGACTTCATTTAGTGACTGTTCA